GACAACGGATAATATCATCAAATCATGGCTAGGAAAACATTTAATACTCGGGGGTTATAATCTATGCAAAAATACTTTCAAAATAAAATATCATTCGATCCCTCTTTCCATTTAAGATTTTAGGGGGTGAAAATGACAAAAAAATGTTTTCCCCTAAAACCAAAAATTAACGGGTCCGAGCGTTTTTTCGTAAATGACCTAAGGTGCCAAAAATTAGTTCTGTTTCGTTTTCAAATGTCAACCCTGTATATATACAATACTCCATTATATGTGTATCAATAAATCATCAAAAATCTCCTTCTAAATTCATGATAGTTAATAAATGTTTTATATTGCGTTTCTATTTATTTCATTAGAACTCCCATCTGCCGCTTCAATCCTCAATCCTCAAAACTCCAGCAAATCGACATTTAACAATACCGTTCTTTTCCAAGAACATTTTCATAAAATCAACGCATTAAAATGGCTTTTAAAAAACACGTGGTGACCCTAAGTGGGTTGTGGTGGGGGAGGGGGGAGTCCCCATTTCTCGCATAGGGGCCGGGCACCCAAAGCAATTTTTGAGTTCCGGCGCCTATGGTTGAAGCAGTCGTTGTTGGTGACTACTGGCAAATTTTTGTATTGTATTTTCAACAGTCTGTACTTTAAGGTCCTTATGAAGATCAGTATTACGGCAGTACCAAGACGATGTTCCTTAAGGAGGTCCTTTCGCCACCCCTTTCGCCACAAATGTTAAATAAAAAATATTAGATTATGACTAAAATTTATTTTTTTTCTAATAGTTGAAGTCCTTATTTATCTAATGTTGAACTTTTAACTATACCTTACCGTGCAAATTTTTGATAATTTTTTTTTTAAAAATGTGAGTATTTGTACAGGGTCTTACGAGAAAATAAGACCTCAACAACAATTCTCGAATTATATTATTATTTATTCATTATATGGAGTAGAAAAAAACTAAAAATAGGGTTTTTGAAATATTTAGGTTTTGTTTATTACAATAAAATATATAGGTTACCTTGGAATTTATTGAGAAATTAATATTAAAAAAAAATTTGAAGTAACCTAGTTGAAAATTTTTTGTGATTTTTTAATATTAATTTCTCAATAAATTCCACGGTAACCTATATATTTTATTGTAAAAAACAAAACCTAAATATTTCAAAAACCTTATTTTTAGTTTTTTCTACTCCATCTAATCAATAAATAATAGTAAAATTAATTATAATTCGAAAATTGTTGTTGAAGTCTTACTTTCTCGTAAGACACTGTACAAACACACATTTTTAAAAAAAATTTTCTCAAAAATTTGCACGGTAAGGTATAGTTAAAAGTTCACTATTAGATAAATAAGGACTTCTACTATTAGAAAAAAATTAATTTTAGTAATAATCTAATATTTTTTATTTAACATTGGTGGCGAAAGGACCTCCTTAATACTTTATTCTGAAAACATTAAATAACTTGGATATTACTTTTTCTGGCACAGCCCTAAAGCTGGCAAATTGCTTCATTTCCACCAATTCCTTTAAATGCACGAATCTGAAACAAAATATAGGAAATTAAAAAGGATTTATATAAATTATTTGATTAACAATAGTTTCATTAATATTGTTTTAAATTAACTATAATTAAACTATACTCATGTCTAAACAAAACATGAAGATCCACCTAAGCAACCATTTTTTATGTAGTTCTCATCTTAATTTCTAAAGACATATTCTGCTTCCCATATAACAAGTTCACAATGCATGAATATCAAAAACCAACAACTCAAATCTATAATTATTTAAAATATAGGCTTGTTTATAGCTGGTGGATGAACAGGGACATATGATAAAATTAACTACATATCCCATCTTCTTCTTACAAATCAGAAATTCTTCATTAATTGTTGGCCTTTTACAACATAACCCATTTAGTAACCTTTTGTGTAACATGTATACCATGTTTCAGAAACATTTTCAGTAAAATATTTAACTAAAATATTTCAGAAACTTGTGCTTGAAATGTTATATGTTTGAAACGTTTGAAATATTTCTGAAACACTTCTGAAATAATGTGTGCTGTATTGATGGTAAAGCTTTTACAATTTATTATTACAAAGGCATACATTTTTTAAAATTTCTAATACTTTATATCCATATCGCTAGTGTAAAGCAAACAAGGACTAAGCGAAAATTGATTTATTTTTGAGATATCTGACAGCCACATCGTCGAACCCTAACCAACTAATCGAAAATAATCGATTTATCGAAAATAATCAATCATCCTTTTTTTTTAATCATAAATTATTTTCCCCTTTCCTGGATATAACTAGGAGTGGGCAAATAAATCTATAAATCAATTAATTTTTATCTGAAAAATTGATAATCGAATAATCGAATATTTTCGATTCATCGAATAATTAAAATAATCTACTAACCTATTAGCTAAATAATCGATTTTAATGAAAATACAAAGAAAATAGATTTCCTTTCAGACTAATAAAAAATGTGTTGTTCGACTTGTGGACAACAACCTGTCAGAATTTGGTTTTATAAAATAAAAACTAATTTTTTGAATAAATATGCTTGATAATTGTTTATTATAAAACGATCGTTTGAAAGTCTCAATCGAATAAAAGCCATAAAGAAAATTCTTGACACATAAAACGCTGAATTGGTAATGTTACCCAGTTATGCCTATATACAAATTGTAGCCACGCCTTTGTTTTTTCAGAATTTTTCGGTTTGTTAATATTATTTCTTTTGAAAAAGTATTATTCCAATATAGGTAGGTCCAGAATTTGATGGATGATATTTTTTGTATTTTTAAAAGCATACTTTAACACATTTTATACAAACCGGCCATAATACTGTCCTGTACAATATTTATAATTTTTATACTAACCTATTAAAGGTTATTCCAGTCAATTTTTACTCAAACGAGCATTGCCAGAGTAGAAACGATTTATAAATCTAGACATTACGCACTTTATAAACTTTTTAAAAAATAACTAAAAATTTAATTAAATTACAAAAATGACACTAGAAAGATTGCATTAACAGTAATGGCAGACTGATCCTACTTTGCTCCTACACATATCCTATCCCCAGGTTGCCATATGAATGGCTAAGGGACTATAAGGATATTACCTATTCTGTGATAATAACAATAACAGTTTCATTTTATATTTAGGGATAGGACAGTGCTGCAAACTGGCAACTGATAGCTCTATCGTAAAGTTTAACATTTTTGAAGTCATGTGTACTCAAAACGTTTTGACATACAAGCGCTATTTGTGTTGTTTACAGTAACTTAAAAGATTCATCCCGGCTAAAAAATGGAATTAAATCGTGAACATTTTCGTGCGATTATTTTTTACAACTTTCGACGTAGATTAACTCCGCAACAGTGCATCGATAAACTTAATTTAATTTTTGGTGATGAAGCTCCATCAAGGACCGGTGTTTATCGATGGTATGGTGAATTCAATCAAGGTCGTAGTTCGCTCCAAGACAAATTTCGTGAAGGTCGTCCATTGGAAACCATTGATGTTGTGCGCGAACTGATATTGAAAGATCGTCATGTGACCTAGGCGAAATTAAAAAGGAATTGAGCAGTAGAAGAACCGATAGTTGGAACAATCTCTTGGCGCTGAGACAGGCTAAGCTACTTCTGGGTAAATATAACCAGAAAAGATCGGAAGCCTGCATCTGCCTGAGCAAGAACAGGCTACGTATTTTAAGAGGGATCCTTACCGGGCATTGTTGACTAAAAGGACACCTAAGTAAACCGAGAGTAGTAGAGAGTAGTGAGTGCAGATTCTATGAGGAGGAGGACGAAACCTCCATTCACATTCTAAATTCTGAACTGAATGTGTAGCATCCAAGGGCACTATATCTAGGAGGATATCAAATAGAAGAGGGTGATTTACCTAATTTGAAGCCACTCCAAATCTTACACTTCCTTGAGAAAATAGGATTGAAGGTTCTTTATAGGCATTGAGACATTTCCTAGGTACATTAGCGACAGAAGAGGGCACAATAGATCTTTTAGGTCGCAGTGTATTAACACCCCATTTCCAACATAACATATCATAACATGTGACCTATCGAGTGATTGAGAAAACCTTAGGCATTAGTGGGTCCAGAATACATTCAATATTGCATGAACATTTGACTGTCAAAAAAATTTGTTCGCGTTGGGTCTACACAATTTGTCAATCGTTCAAAAAAAAGCTCGTGCCGATTGGTCGAAAGAAATGCTCAAAAAATACGATCGCGGTGCTGCGAAACACGTATATGACATAGTGATAGGTGACGAATCGTGGATTTGCGCGTATGAGCCCAAAAGTAAACAACAAAAGTTGTTCGCGCACGAAGCACTTCCAAGCAAATGGTCGCCTGTTTTTTCGGAAAACCGTACCACTAGAACAACACAGAACAGTCAATTCTGAGTGGTACACATTTGTTTGCCAGTTGTCTTCCAAGAAATGAGGAAATCCAACCGCCGAAGACGGATCACTCTTCACCAGGACAATGCGAGCTCTCACACATCGGCTCAAACAACTACATTTTTGAGTACTCAGAACGCCGATGTGATGAGTCATCCGCCGTATAGTCCTGACTTGACACCGAATGACACCTGAAGAAGCCGTTGATGCGTTCAGAATGCATGTTTTGGAGATACCTCAATCAGAGTGGCAAACGTGCTTCGACAGTTGGTTCAAACGCATGCGGAAGTGTATAAATCTTCATGGAGAATATTTTGGCAAAAACAATAAAGCTATTTTCGATGATTAATATTTGTTTTTGTTTTCTAATTCCGAAATATAAAAGGCAACCCTCGTAACATGATAAGTGTACTACAATTTGTTTCATTTAGGAGATCTCGTTTGGTTTGAGTTAATTTTATAAATTAACTATGATTTTATAAATTAACTATGATTTCATGAATCAACTATGATTTTATAAACTAACTATGATTTTAATAAGACATAATTATTTTATTTACAGAAACTAAACTTTTTGGATTTATCGTATAATAGGTTAGCTCAAATTGATTCTGGCACATTTAAAGGTTTACCAAGACTATCGTATTTAGATTTAAGTCATAACAGCCAGTTGGCTCTGGAACCAAATGGACTAAGCTTTCAAGGACTGGAATACACTTTGCTTCATCTGAAACTTGACAATGTTTCCCTTTCATTGGTAAGAATATAACAATAAAATAACAATATCTTATAAAAATAAATATAATATTTAACAATGTTTATTTATTTTATATTTAAAAGTATATCAAAAATTTTAGTACTGACCAGTCAACATAATAAATAACATTTCATAATAATCGGATGGAAATATTGTATGTCAGTATTAAGAGAGAGTTAATTCGTTGGCTTATTTTATGATGAACATTTTACATATTCCTAATTACTTTTTGCAGTTAATAATTACATTCTAAATTACGTTTAAACTATCCTCTTAGTACTACAAACATACCATACCATCCGTTTTATTAAGTTACACTCTATTTTAAAAAACAGCAAATTATATTTTAATCATAAAATAGGTCAATATTGATATCAGGAATATGTGCAATACGTTGTTACTAATATTAAAACCGTTTTGTTTTAGTTACCAACATTGCCCACTCCAAACCTAATTTCTTTATCGCTTTCCCACAACTCACTACCAACTATGCCTCCCGAGATGGCTACCAACTTAACAAAGCTTCAGAGATTAAATTTAGACAGTAACGATTTAACTGCCATTCCAATTGTAACTCATCAACTAACGGAACTAAGATATTTTTCAATAGCAGACAATCCAATAACATTTTTGAGTAATACAAGTTTACTTGGGGTAGCAGATCGTCTTGTCGAATTGGACATAAGGAACTTTGATCTAAATACCCTAGAGGTAAGTTATGGTTTATTTTTCATATGTAATTAGAAAAAAATTTAAAGGACAATTTACCTGAGACTGAAACCAAGATTGAAGTACCTAATGAGCAGATGAATTTGCCAGTTCTAGACATGGTTAGAGGTGATTAGAGAGGTAATTAGTAATTACCCTAAGTACGCAATTAGAAAGTACCTCTTAATTACCCTGTACACCCTGTAATAAGAATAATTGCATAGTTAGTACCTTCCAATTAATTTGTACACCCTGCAACGAGTGTAAATGCATACCAAGTACCTCCCAATTAGCTTGTTCACACTGCACTGTAATAAGTGTAAGTGCATAGTAAGTACCTCCCAATTATCCTGTAATGTAATGAGTGTAATTTATATAAATGTAATTGTATAGTAAGTACCCCCCAAGTATCCCGTACATACTGTAATGGGTGTTACCTTAGTAACTCTTAGTGGTTACTGTTGTAGCGTAGGGGAACGAAATTAGTTAACCGAATGCCTAAGCACGTCCTTAACTCTCAACCGTTGTCAATAAAGTAAAGGAACCAGCTGGGCACATGTATACACAACCTGGATATTACTTAAATAACTCTTAGCGATTACCTTTGTAGCGTAGGAGAATGAAATCTGTTGACCACATATCTAAGCACGTCGTTGACTCTAAACCGACACAGCTAGAGTGAGGCGATGGTCCTCAGATACGCCCGACATGAATATTGGTGGAAGAAATGCTACCTGACCCTTCATTAATCAGGATAGTATACCTCACATCATGTACGATAACGGGTATAATCTAAGTACCTCTTAGGTTTTGGATTGTACTTACATATTAGAACTAATTGTTTTTTAACAATTGAATTGTACTTACATATTAGAATTAATTGCTTTTTAACAAATATTCTACCTCTTCGACACTAAATACGATTTAGTAAGTGCTTGAAGTACTATGGATTACAGCAAGCACCTATTAGAATTGTTTTTTATGCAAGGGGCATGAAGTCCTTAATTTCAGAAATACCTCTCAAATACACTTCTCGAGGCAGATTTCTTGACTCTAAGGATCCTCTTACTACCACTGTATTACATAAATGTAATGTAACGAAGTCATATTATTTCACCCTTATAATTAAATTGACATATTTCGCCCAACGTTTAACACTAACTGATTTCACTATAACACGGTTCCTAAACTACTCAAATTAGGTAGCTCACATTGTCATTTTGTGTATTCCTTATTTAAAATTAGGAGGCTACTGGGCTTTTTTTTTTAATGGGACTCACAAATATCTAGATTCTAGTCGTTTATAACATAACAGGTAACATATATGTATACGTATTTTTGTTTTAATATATTTATTATATTTCAGAATGGAATCTTTTGTAAAATGTATTCACTGAGGACCCTGAAGTTAGACTATTTTCCAAACATTAAAAACTTCAATATACCAACAATTCTAGAAAGAAATACTGGACTAAGGAACCTGGAAATACATGTAAGATATTTAAGCACTTTGCTATTAAACAGCAAGAGGTAGTAAATATTTTTGTTATCATTAACTCTTGGTTATACAGGGTGTCCTTTAAAATGTGTCCCAAAATTCTCAGGCAGATTCCTTAACCAAAAAATGGAAAAAAAGTTCCTATAGACCTATGTCCTAAAGTGTCCCCTAAGCGAGCAACAGCCTCTCGAAATCATTTTTTTTATTTTGATTTTTTGAATTTTCTTAAAAATGGAAACAAATAAAAGAACCAAATTTTGGCTGTTAAATATGATCAATAATAGTGACCTTTTGACACCTTCAAAAAGAAATTATTTCGTCAGGGGTGTACTTGGGAATTTTTTGAAAATTTTGAATATTTATAACTTTTTTGTGTTTTTGGTAATGACTTATCCATATTTTTTTTACATTCTACATTGAATGTAAAAAAGGAATACTTGTTTGATCTCGATTGGAGCAGCCGTTTCCGAGAAAACATCATCCAAAGATATTCGTCCACTTTAGCTTAATTTTCAATTTTCCTAAATTACCTCGGTGAATCTCGTAAATAAAAATAACTTTTTTAGCTCTCTCTAAATAATTGTAGTTCAAATGTCGTGGTGGGACTATTTTTATTTAATAATAAGAAACGGTTTAAAAAAATATTTATTCTAAAAAAACAAATGAAAAAAAATTAAAGCAGATGCTCAATGTGGCGACCATTGGTTTCCACACACAAGCGCAACCGTCGCATCATAGACTGTCTTACACGAAAAAATACTTCAGGATTATTCCTAAGAACTTCGCAATGATGAAAAACTCGTTCTTCCAATTCTTCAACTGTTTCAACAGGACTGGAATAAACCAATGAATTTAAATAACCCCAAACAAAAAAATCCATTGGATTTAGATCTGGTGAACGAGGTGGCCAGTTAACAGGACAACCTCTGCCAATTACTCTACCCTCAAATCTTTCGTTAAGGTGCTGTCTAGCTTCAAGGCTGTAATGTGGTGGAGCTCCATCATGCATAAACCACATGTTATGTCTGATTTGAATCGGAATATTATCAAGAAGCTCATGTAAGTTATTTTCCAAAAAAAGCCTGTATGCTGCTCCATTTAACCTATTCGGCAAAACAAATGGTCCAATAAGGTAATTATCAATAACTCCAGCCCAGACGTTTATTGAAAATTTATCCTGGTGGTGACGTTCAACAACCGCGTGAGGGTTATCTTCAGCCCATTCATGCATATTTCGAAAATTTATTATACCATCTCTAGTGAAACCAGCTTCATCGGTAAATAGCACTTTATTAAGAAACATTGCATCTTGATTACATCTTCCAAGAAACCATTCAGAAAAGATAACTCGCGGCTCATAATCAGTAGCTTTAAGTGCCTGAACTTTTTGAATGTGGTAAGGGTACAATTGTTGTTCACGCAAAACTTTCCATACCGTGTTACGTCCGACTCCCACTTCTGAAATTAAATGAGAGAATCTGTGTAGTGAATAGTTAAGAAAGAGAATCCATTGATTTGGGAAATCAGATTTTTTCTGCATAACGCAACTCTTTTCGATACGAAAAGTCGTGAAATGTAAGAGAAGCAATAACAAGTAAAAAAACTAGTTTTATACGATAAGGTACGGGGTAGCTAAAATAATAAATAAGTAATTACTTACCATTTGCTATTTTTCTGGTACTTGTCGATGGGGTTTCAGCTACCCTATCCAAAATTGCTTCTTCCAAAGCAGGAGTTCTCACATAATTTTGTCTTCCACTGTTACTAGAGTTTTTCTTAAATGTACCAGTTTCCCGAAGTCTATCGTCAATTCTAGAAAACGTCTTAGCGCATGGAAGATGCCTATTTGGAAAGCGCTCCTGATAAAGTCTGCGAGCTTCATTGGCATTTCCAGAAGCGAGTCCAAAACATAAGTGCATGTCCGTCATTTCGCCGAATGTGTAATCATTATTGTAGTTATTGTGAGCCATTTTAAACAAAATAATAACAATACAACGAATCGCACCAGAACACTTTTAGAAATAATGTTTAACTGAAGAAACATTTTTATCAGTGAGCGAAAAAAATTATCCATGAAACACAAAAACGCCAAAAAAAATACATATTTTTACTTTTTTATTCTAAACAGCTAAATACAAACCTTATGGTTTTCATAATAAATAAATGGGAACTAAATTTTTAAATTTTATTTAGAGAGCTAAAAATAGTATACAGGGTGATTGATTAGTGTGAGGAAGCTCTGTAGATCTGTTATAATAAAAGTAGGCAGCTTTAAGCTTCACATTTTAAAATTAGTTACGATGTGACAGGGTGTTTCATAAGGCCGTGCCAAATCAAAGTTATGTTTTTTAAATGGAACACCCTGTATATTTTTATATTTTTAGAATCTGCTCGATAATCTGATTTCAATGATATATCACACTTGTTATCTAATATGAATAGTAAAGGATCTACAGCTACTCAAAAATCACATTTTTTCAAATTCAGGTGGCTGTTGTAGCCAAACAGTTGGAAATCGAGGAAAACGGCTTACAGTCCCTATCCTAACTTTTTAAGGTCTATTCAGTGACATAAAATACATATTATTTGATACAGGGTGATCAAAAATCCAAAATCACATCCGATTTTTGATCACCCTGTATCAACTAATATTTTTTGCCACTGAATAGACCTTCAAAAGTAAGGATAGGGACATGTAAGCCGTGTTCCTCGATTTCCAACTTTTTGGCTACAACAGCCAAAATTGAAAATTAACCTAAACTGCACGAATATCTTTGGATGATGTTTTCTCGGAAACGGCTGCTCCAATCGAGATCAAACAAGTATTCCTTTTTGACGTAGTTTTCAATGTAGAATGTAAAAAACAATATGGATAAGTCATTCCCAAAAACACAAAAAAGTTATGAATAATCAAAATTTTCAAAAAATTCCCAAGTACACCCCTGACGAAATAATTTCTTTTTGAAGGTGTCAAAAGGTCACTATTATTGTTCATATTTAACAGCCAAAATTTGGTTCTTTTTTTTGTTTCCATTTTTAAGAAAATTCAAAAAATCAAAATAAAAAAAATGATTTCGAGAGGCTGTTGCTCGCTTAGGGGGCACTTTAGGACATAGGTCTATAGGAACTTTTTTTCCATTTTTTGGTTAAGGAATCTGCCTGAGAATTTTGGGACACATTTTAAAGGACACCCTGTATATCTATGTCATTAACCGACTTCAAAAAAGGAGGAGGTTCTCAATTCGTCGGACTATTTTTTTACGTATGTTCAGCCATAATTATTTGCCACCTTATCCGATTTCAAAAAAGCTTGTTAAAAACGGGGTACTTCACCAAGATCCAATAACTGAGCCATAAGAAAATTCTCAAACTCTTTAATTTTTTATGTATGTTCGGGAAAACTCTCGAACACATCGATTGCTATTTTTAGTTGCGTATTTAAAACAAAAAAATTTTTTAATACAGGGTGTGTCAGTGGCCAATATCAACTATCTTATTTTACACACCCTGTATATTTTTCAATGTTTGGATTCTTCAGAAAATTCTAGGCATATTTTATGTACTACCTCCTATAATTAACTGTTTCAAAAATATTAAATTTTTTCCGATTTATTGCAAAAATTCACATTATTAAAATACAAGTATTTGATTACAGAAATTCGTTACAACACACTCAAAAACTAATAAGTAATACTATTTATTTCTTGATAATGTAACAAAAAACATCTCAATGTAGGAGATGTTCAAAATTCTCGCCGCGAACCTCTTGGCAACATCCTAATCTAAAATAAAAATGTCTTCTAACGTTACTCAACATCTCAGGCGTGACCGATCTAATCGCAAGCGTTATTCGTCTTTTTTAGTCAGCTAGGTAGAGAGGTTTAGTTTTGTGTACAATACTTCTGGTATATCCCCATAAGAAAAGTTCTAATGATCTCAGATTAGAGGATCGTGCTGGCCATTTCATTGATCCTCGCCTTCCTATTCACCGATTTGGAAATATTCGATTGAGGTACTGCTGGACATTGATTTGGTAATGATGTGGTACTCCACCTTGCTGAAACCATATCATATTCGCTGGAACTTGTTGGTTTGCTGGATCAGGATACAAGTTTGTTAAAGTTGGTACGACATCATTTTGGAGTAGTGCTAAATAATGATCGCTATTTAAATTGCCATCAGTCAAAAAGGGACCTATGATATGTTCGCCAACAATTCCTTCCCAAACAACAACCTTTTCAGCGTATTGCGTATGTTCTTCTCTCATCCAGTGAGGATTTTCCCTGGACTGATAGCGGCAATTTTGACAATTAGCATGACCGTAAGGGTAAAGATACACTCTCCAGAAAACAAAACATGTTCTAATTGAAACACCATATTATCTAACATTGCCATCATTTGTTCACAAATTTGCGTTCTCCTATCAAAATCGTCTACCATGAGCTGCATGAGTTCCTATTATTTTATAGGGATGCATTTTATTTTCTTTAATTGTTTGAATAATCGATGAATGGCTAATATCGAACATTGGGGTTGCTTTGCGATTAAAAGTATGTGGATTTTCCTGAAACTCAAGCATAATATCCAATTTAAAAAAAACAAGTTTCGGTTCAGCAATAAAACCGTTGAATTTTCAAAGCTTTCTAAATCCCTTATTACCCATATAGCATTTAAGATGGTATTTAAAAATTTGTTTGTTTTTGTATTATCGGCATAAATATATTAAAAAAAAAAAAAAAAATTGGTTCTGGTTAAAACTTTGAAATTTCAAAGCACTCTGAATCCTTTAATACTCATAGAGCATTTAAAATGGTATTAAAAAAGTTGTTCGTTTTTTATTATCTATCGAATGGCCTAAATAAATTTTTGAAAAAAACAAATTTCAATCTAGCAATAAAAACTGTAGCCCTTCCTAAATCCCTTATTATAATTTTAAGAAAGGATAATAGTAATTATAATGCAAAAAAAATATGATTTAATGTATTCTTTATGTCGAAATTTAAAATAATTAGATGTTAAAGATTTAATCAGACCGCTGGCGCTTCGAACTCCACCTGAATTTATTGCTGGCTGTCTTTTTGCTAACATAACGCAGGTCTACATTTCACCTAACTGTCTTACCAACTTTTTTGCACTATTTTAATCCCGGTCTGGACAAAAATGCGCCCATTTTAGAATTTTAAAATCACTCTTCACTTTAAATTTAGGAATTCCAAACAAAATGGCTACCAGTGGGTTTTGACAGGTTATGATATGGCAAAACTATGGCAACCATATAGGCCTGGTGATTTGTCAAGGTCAATGAAATAGTTAGTTACATAGATTGGATCATCCATATTTTTCAAAATAAACATTTAGGCCTTGAAGTAAAAATGTAGGAAATTGTTTTTTTACTATATTCAAAGGCTGAATATTGGTTTGTAAACACATTTTTGCAAAATCGATTCTAATTAATAAGCATTTGCGAGGCAATATGGGCAATTACAAACGACCCGCTTTGAGCAATCTTTATAACTGTATATGTATCATTGACCCTTTCAATGACAACAGGCTCACAGGGTTGCTATATCTAAAATGCCAGTTTCCTCTTGTCAACAGTTTGATAGTCATTGGAATGCCTAATACAATTTAGTCAGTTGCTGACAAAAAAGAAAAAAGGAATGATATACAAAGGTTTGGTATACGATTAGTAGCAGTGAATATGGAGCATTTTATTTACTCTAGAAAAGATACGTGCTGATGAGTAGATTTTATAGGAAGTTATATCAAGAACAAGCGAAGGAAAATTTACTGTCATTTAACAACTGATGGTATCAAACTAATACAATGGTAACTCTTTCATTTTCATCAGTAGATTCTGGATTTGCTGTTGCCTGAGCTCTAGCGTTACTAATAACTAAGAAAAATGGGCACTCGGTTTGACCCGACTACCCGGTTTTACCCGACTTTCCCCTACATAGAACTGACAGTACCGGCCCTTAGTGTTCTTTACTGTTACTGTTACTGTTACCCAATTCATTTCCTTACGAGTAAATGTTAACCTCCGAAGCCGACTGAGCTTGTGCGGGGAAGGGACGGCTATTATTATTATCATTATTTTTCGTGGCTGTAGTAACTCTAGTTGTTTGGGTTCTTTCTAAAACTATTTCAATTTGTAGTTCATCGACACATTGTAAACCTCTAATTCAGTTATAATTTTTTAATGTATTGCAAATCCAACATGTCTAAGAATAATAACTAATTTACAGGTAGAGTCTTCTACTGATGATAATTTAAATAAAGAAATGTCTGGAGAATTACCTTTCAAGCTAAGAAATATAACATTTACCGGAAAAGGATTAAAAAGGTTAGGAGGAGATGTTTTAAATGTAAGTAAATATTATACCACATTATCACATCTTATAACTATATTTTAGTATTACCTATAATTTTTACAGAACTACATGATTATAATCTAACTATATTTTCTTTATAAATATTTTTTCAAATATTCGACTGTTTTATGTCCTTCACAAAAAATGAATAACCTTTAATGGTTATTAGGTTTAAAGTTTTAAAAAATTTTAAAATTACAACAATAATAGCCTTTCATCTGACAGCAAAAAGTCGTGTTTTTTGGCTTGTTATTTGTAGCTGGGTGCAGGGAATGGAGTGAAAAACGTGTAGCAAATAACAGTAGTGGGAGCGATCATGAGACCTGTGACATTCAAAAAAGTAAAATTGCTTATCGATAGATTTTTCGATTTTCTAGACGTCAATGCCAATACAAAAATCCCTGCAAGTATTTTCTGTTCGCTGTTGCTAGGTACACGCTAAAGTGTACACAAATCAAAAAATTATATAAACGCGAAACGTCATATTGCTGTGGTGGGAGGTTTTTGTGTGAATGCGTCTTGTTTCTTTTCATTTACGCCGTGACTAGCAGTAGTATTTTATAAACCTTTGAAGCAAATTTCACATACATGAACAAATATTAATAATGCCGTGACAACAAGAAAACGAAGCAACGACTTCTCGTAGGGTGGCAGCTTCGCCGCCACAAAAAAATTTCAATCCATACCTATTACCTAGCTGCGCCGACCAGCTCACCTACTCTGTCAAGACGTTTCAAGTGTATATAACTTTTTGAATTGCGTACAAGTTAGCGTATACCTAGACACTGTGTTTTCTGTTTGCTACTTCTGGTATAGAAATTTAGACCACGTGACCAGAAATTTCTGTTTTTCAACGATATTCGGAATATAGCTTTTTTCTGAACTTATGGTGATATTGAAATAGGTGTAATATCAGAATCAAAAGTCGAAAAGTAATTTAGTTGCTGTCAAAAGGATGGTATAACTCTCAACTAAGAGTATTGCGCTTGCAAGCATTTTTTATGCAGTAGTTGAACCATTCAACCCTCTATTGACCCCATATTTTCTAGAAGAAAAAAATTACAAAATAGTCTAATATATGTCGAATGAGGTAAAACTATTGGATAAAAAATGTTTTCAAGGCCAATACTCTTAGTTGAGAGTCATACAAACATACTGAAAATAATTACACTACTTTTGGTATCGATTTTAGACCTATTCCAAAATTACATTCTATTCTGCATATCATCCTATTCGCTGATACAAATTTTTTTTTGAAATATTATCTAAACAAAAAGCTAGGAGCCATTTAACCAACTTGAAAATACTTTCCAGAAATTCCTCTTGACCGTTTTTATTAATAATATATTCCCCCAAGGCTGCAGTATTATTAGTTTTTGAGATATAGCCGGCTACCCCTCTTAATTGAACACCCTGCGTTGTATTGCCGCTAAACATCGAACAGCTCTGTCATATTTGATTAGGTCTGCGGGGTCGTGTAGCGGTCTACTGGTTTAGTCGCAAATGGACAAACATTTTTGTAGTTTTATATAAATTTTGTTTATGATTTCGATATTAAATATATTATTTGCTTCTTTTCCTGTTGCAATATTATTTCCATGTAATAAACTTTGGGTACAATGAATATGTCAAGTAGGTGACAAATGCCATTCTGTGAAAGTGGTACAAACTTAAAACATGTAAATTTCAAAGCCAACTCTAATTATAAATTTGTATGTCGGTCACAAAAATCCATAACAAATAAGAGCAAGAAACATAACTATGATATATATTCACCAATATTTCTTAAGAGGCAGACAGAAGTTGAACAGTACTTTCTCAATTCACCTACATTATACATATGATTTTAGAGGGAGCTAACCGAAGTTAACGTAATACATTGGCCTAGAAAATGATTTTATAGATGGTAATTAATTTCATGTATCCATGTAAATAATTTAATAAATTGTGAATGACTGTTAAAATTTTGTAGAGTTATGATTTGGGATATTATAATACTTAGTTAAATAAATATTTATGGCTCATAAAGACATACGATTGAACAGTAATATACACCATAAAAAAAAACAATAATTACAATTCTAACCTATTCTACGATACGATATTACCTCCAAATTCTCGAATTCGTCCAACTGGGTTTGACGTCTGTCACCTCCCATCTACCAACGTACTCTTCAAATTCTATCTACGCTCTACTAATCAATTATCAGTATCTAATAAAAATAGAAAAATTATATTATTGTTAAGCAGTGGCGGCTTGTCCTAGGGGGCCAAAGGGCCGTGGCAATGACGCAAAATTTGTAAATATTTCGGTCTCTAAAAATATTTTTTTATATTAATTACAATAATTAATACAATTGTCGGATCAAATTATGGCTAAACGATATATTATATAAATTATTTATCATTATTTAATTTGATCCCGTTGAAAAAACTTACGCCGTATTATTCCTAGACACAACAAATTTAATAATTCAAGCAATTGACTGTCCGCCGTCTATCCGAGCAAATCGATCAGTGGCCCGGCTGCTTACATATCAATCCATTGTAAAAGTTTACTAAAGGTTCCGCCATTCGCCTATATACATTCAAACGGGGCCACATTTCAAGCGGCTCGGAATTAATAGTTAGAATAGTATTGTTTCAATCGCATGTCCGGTGAGTTCGGCGTATGCTTTTGAAATTTTATGCGTGCTAAATTTTTGTGTTAGGTAGTTAGTTAGAATAGTTCAGGTTTTAAAGTATAATAAATTAAAAATCTTCCGAGAGTTCGAAGCAAAATGAATAAAATAAGCAATCTGTTACTGAAACCTTTTTCTACGCACTCTCTCGAAGACAAAATCCAAATAGAGTTCGTCAAACTTCAAAGGCCGGATAAGTAAGTTTAACCGGAATTTATTCTTAAAAAATAACTGTATTTGTGGATCTGATGAAAAACACCCATTTTTTTGTTTTGTGTGTGTTTTATTCGGGGGCGATTCTTCGTGGACGATGCATATAGTGTAACTGATTTGGTACACATTTATGAGAAAATTAAAACACATGAAAACAGTAAGGCCCATGTAAATAATATTTTTATTTACTCTTTTGCTTGAAAAATCAAATATACTGACTCAATTAAATTCGGCTTATAGACAAAGTATTATTACCCACAATAAACAAGTTGATATAAAGAGATATATTTTAAACATCACTATTAACTGTATTAGATTTTGTGGTGCATTAGAATTAGCATTGCGCGGACATGATGAAACCGAAGTATCCAAAAATAGAGTGTTCCGAGAATTGATAGATTTTAGTTCTGAATTAGATGCAGATTTAAAGGAACATTTCAACAAAGCAACAGTATTTAAAGAGACCTCTAAGACCATACAGAACGAACTGTTGGAATGCATGCTTGGCGTTTACCAAGAAGAAGTGGCCAAAGAAATAAAAAAAAAACAAATTATCTAGCTGTAATTGCTGACGAAACTACCGATGGTGCTAACGAATTTTAATTGTTCATTATTCTTCGATACATTGCCTCCAGTAAGCCAGTAGAAAGATTTTGGAAATTTGTAAATCCTCCTGGACACAATGTCATTTCAATAGCAAATTGCATTTTAAATTAAATTAATCCATTAATTAATGACACACCAAATAATCATAGATAAATATGCTTTAGCAAATTATGTTCATTTCTATGCACATCAGATTAACCTTATATAGTGGACTGAAAAACGGGCAAAAAGGTTTCAATTTTTTCTTTAAGGTACAACCACATATGGTTTTTACAAAATAATAGTCTAGGTCCCTAGCCATCTGAAATCGGCAATTACAACATTTTTTAAAAGGAACAACATTTTTTATTGCAAAATTTGTCAAAAATGTGTCAAAATTATGTTTTATTACTTTTTCACACATACCTCGCGATATCTCCAGAACTACACAAGATATTTTAAATTTTTTTTTAATCGGCAGAATAAACGTAAGCGGAGATTACTGCGTTAATTTCATTAGTATAAAAGACCTAGTTTTTTTGTGTAAAACTAGACAAAACTTTAATCCTTACTTTTTTGCAGCACTATTTTCAGTAATCGAGAAACATTTTTATTTTTCAAAATTTCACTAAACTATCTGCGTACCAAATAAAGCTAAAGCTTCAAGGAAATTTTTAAAACAACAATCACTATTCTAAGTATCATAGTTTTCAAGCAATAGTTACTTGAAGTTAAAAGGTTCCGCACCTCCATGGGCCACCGCGCCGGCCGCGGCCGTGGAGCTAGCTAAAAATACTGTTAGCGTTATTGTGGGGGCGCCGACTTAATTATACCTGTGACCTGTAAATTAATAAAAGTTCCTAAACATTTAAAAAAAGTTATAGTTTAGTTATTGCTTTAGTTTAGATTAACAATATAAAATTTTATTATTAAAATTATCTTCATCGCACGAATAAACTTTTTTTATAGCAACTTAAATTAAATATATTTATATTGATCATTATTTTACATTATTTAATAGGTACATCTGATTAAACAGAAACAAAAAAAAAACTCAATAGTCTCTAAAAAAATCGCAAAAACATTAAACAAAAAATTATAAAACTAATTAAACTAAATAACAAAAACATATTTTAAAAGTCTTCATCTTCGCAGTCTGATAAAATTTCATAGGTTAGGCTGTTACAGCAGGTTTTATATTTGCAGTCACTGCAGCATTTTAAACTTTGTAAAATGCAGGTACACTTATTATTGTTGCAATGTTTCTCTGAACATCGTATAGACAAAATTGTTCTTACACCATCGGGCAGTGGTTCTTGAGAAGAAAAATTGGCTTCTAGTGGCATATTTTTAATGTGGCTATTGTACCAAATGTTTAATTGATACAGACACCTAAAACAATAATAGATACATATTATATCCATTTTTAGGTATTTTTTTATTATATAAGCATGGGCGACTTAGAAAAATATTTATTATCTTTTTAAATGTTGTTTAAAAGCATGATCAGTAGGAGGCAACTCAGAAGATGTGCGATTTGAGTCCGTTGTCAGGTACCACCGTAATTGATTCAAGGAAGCAATACTTTTGTTTTTGTTTCTATACAAATGAAGTATATATTTAGTACTAACTTCCAATGCTTTATCTTGTGATAAAAAGGAAAGATTTTCTAGGTCTTTAAAAGCAATAATATTTTTGTATAACACATCAAATGTTGTTTTCTTGTCTATCTTATATATTGCATTTGTTGTGTCGCATCCAGTTAAGCAATGAATTGCCTGTAGTTTTTTACACATTTGTGTCCCTAAATTGGCCACAATATTGTTACTAGACAAAAAAATGTGCGTCTGCAGCTAATGTCAAACCACGGGTGGCTCTCGAATATTGTTTTCCCTGCAACATCATTTTACAAGTAGCCTCGACGTAAACATCTGTTTCGGTCAAAATGGTAAAAACACCGCCGTCGTTAGAAATATGGTTGATACTGGCAATTAGAGCCATCTTATGGTCAGTGTAACTTTGCCATGAAGTGCATCTTGATTATTTCATACAATTTCACGTGCCTTTGAATATATAGCTAAATCTGCAATTATGATTATATGCTGTTGATTTATTGAATTAGCTAGTTCAACTAGTCGTAACATTGAAGTATATATTGTATCATAGCTTGTTGGTGGGTTATTTATAAATGGCAAATAATATATATCTGACACGGAAATTTTATTATCGGCTAACGTATTGTTAAAGTCAGACCAGTTTAGAAATATTTTTGCATCTTTAAAGCTTCGGAAAAGTTTCCATATTACATTTATTTTTGTCGAACGTTCGTCATTTTGTCGATTTAATGTAGCTGATTTTAATGTAAAAGTATCGGGGCGTTATGCAAAATCTTTTGAGCACAAGTGTCTTTCCTTTTTCCTGCAGCACATGTAATTGCTTTTATTCCTTTCAATCTCGGATTTTGCGTTACAAGTTTGTCATTTTCTTGCAAACACAAAATAAACACTCCATCGTTTACAGAAAAAAAATCTCAGTAGACACACATACATCCAAAATAATATCTACCTTACTAATCGCAGTTAAAACAAAGACTGTTTGTTAGCAACTGAATCAAGTTATCGCCAAATGTGTCAGGATTATGCGTATGCGGGACGCGGAGAGTGTCTGCTCGTTAGAAAGCACAATAATTAAACGCGGCTGCAGAAACTTTTAAGTTTGCGTATTTATTGCTCAAAAACTATGATACTTATAATAGCGACTCTTGTTTTAAAAACTTTATTGAAGCTTTAGCTTTATTTGGTATGCAGATAGTTTAGAGAAATTTTGAAAAATAAAAAAGTTTCTCGATTACTGAAAATAGTGCTGCAAAAAAGTAAAGATTAAAGTTTTGTCTAGTTTTACAGACAAATTAGGTTTTCTATACTAATGAAACTAACGCAGTAATCTCCGCTTATGTTTCTTCTGTTGATTAAAGAAAAAAAGTTGAAAATATCTTGTTTAGTTCCGGAGATATCGCGAGGTATGTGTGAAAAAGTAATGAAACATCATTTTGACAGATTTTTGACAAATTTCGCAATAAAAAATGTTGTCCCTATTAAAAAAATGTTGTAGTTGCCGATTTCAAATGGCCAGGGACCTAGACTATTATTTTGTAAAGACCACATGTGGTTGTACCTTAAAAAAAATTGAAACCTTTTTGCCCCTTTTTCAGCCCACTAATAATGAGCAGTGCAGGTTCAATTAATGCGTCTGTTCGGATTTTTCCGCTCATTTAACTGGAATTTGTTCTTTTTTTTCTACATCACCTCAAAGAACAAAACTATTGGATATAGTTCATAGACGATTACCACGCTCATCACAAACGAGATGTAATTTCCAATCACGGGGAGTTAATAAAGTTTATGAATACCGAAATGAACTGATACACGTTATGGATATTTTAGAGAACGACAAGGATATTAAATTAAATTCTACAATTGAGCAAGCCGGTGCTTATAAACTTAGATTACAGGACATTTCATATTTTGGTTAACAGTTTTTCATAAAGTCATGCCACATGTCGAAATAATTTTCAAGCAACTGCAGACGATTAATACCGACCTTATCAAGTCAAAACAAGATCTAAAAAACTGAAAATGCAATGCAAAAAATTCGTAATGAAATGGATAAAATTATTGACAAAATAGACTCGGAGCTTTTAGAAACCGAAGATAAACTTGTTCCTCAGAAAAGGCGACGTTACCCTCGCTCCGATCTATCTGTTTCAACAAATAGAAAAATAGAAGCCTTAGAAGTTTGCGATTCACTTATTCAACAGATTAGGACACGATTCACTTTCACAGGACATCTGATAGCTACCGCATTATTCATGAAAGAACATTATATCGAATATCAAAAAAACTTTCCTGATCAATTGCTCTCTGATACAGTTAACGCATATCAATTTCTAAAAACAGAACTGCAAGTACTTTACGAAAGAGAAGAGTTGCAAACCATTTCTGAAGCCATTCCTCTATTATCATTAGTTTCGCAGGGAGATATGAAGTACACTTTTCAAGAAACTATTAAATTACTGGAAGTTTTAGTGACAACACCTATGTCAACATCTGAAGCTGAAAGATGTATCTCTATGTTAAAGAGGATAATAACTTTTTTACGCAACTCAATGAAAGAAGAAAGATTAAATGCGCTAGGAATTTTATCAGCTAAAAAAGAGTTTCTAAATAACATTGACGACTTTAATAGACGAGTGATTGACCTTTTTGCTAATAAAACAGAACGAAGACTAGACTTTAAATATCGTTTAATGTAAAATATTTTTAATTTTACTGTATAGGTTTGGAGTGCAATAAATTACTATTCAAAGCTAAATTCTGTAAGTTTTTTATGTTATTTATTATTTTATAAAAATGATTAATGTGCACTTTAATATACTTTAAAATATTACCCAAGATATGCTTTTTAACGAATTTGAGTCAAAATCTGGGCTAGGAACCCGAAAATGTTAATCTGTGGCTCCACCTATGTGCTAAGACACAAGTCGCCACTGTTGTTGAGTCTAGTTAACGGTATGGTTAAGTTTTATAGATACCTATTAAGTTTAAGTATTGTTCATTTTTGTGAAAATTATGTATGAGTTTTCTGGATGATTATGCTCTAAACTTGTAGATATGGTACTACTCTAAGATCCGGCAGTGTGACTAAGAACAACATTCATTTGTTTTCTATTCAAAATATAATTTTTATAATTACTGATAGAGAAATACGATTTTGCCAAGTTGCCTGTCAAATTACGGTACATTTCATTAAAATTTATTTTGTTTTTTTAATTTCGATCACTTTTTTAGCGAAAATATTTTCCTATTATTAGACACCAAAAATATTGATTAGGCGTAATAAAACATTTTTGTGAAAATATATTATAATATGTTTTTTGCCATTAGGTATTTTAATCATTTTCTTGATTTTTTAGGGAGTGAGAAGTCCTGTTTTCCATTTAGGCGTTCACAATACAAGCATCATGAAACTGGTATCAAATCTTTTTGAAGATCTTGCTCACGTTAAAAATATAAGTGTTGATGTAAGAAATAATGATGCATTACAAAATTTGCTCAACCCTTCTAGAGGATACAAGCCTAATTTATATCGAAAACCGTTTTTAATTGAATTAAAAATTACAGGGAATAAATGGACATGTGATTGCGATCTAGGGTAAATATTTTATCACATTTAATATTTTAAATTTAAGAGTCTATATTATAAATTCAACTAGGAAATACTACTATTACTACTATCCATTCACTCATATTTAAACCAATACATCTAATTACTTTTTATGTTGATTTTGGGTACTGTCAGAATTTGTTTAAATTTTGTTATGTTACTTTTCAGGTCAATAAGGGCAACTACTTTATTGACCTTAAGTTAACTTATGGCATGTGTTATACTTGTATATAGTTTGTTATTGCTTACTTCCACTATGTAAAATAAATAATACAGAGTGTTCAAAAAAATAGGAATATTAATTACTAAAATAAGGTGTGCATTTTTATGTATTACTATAATTAGAACATGAATTCTGATCACTTATTTGTTACATTAAATACTAGATAATAATTTATTAATAATACAGGCTATAAAAGAAAAACATAAATAATATTTATTACAAAAATATAACAGTTTAGGACTATTTTATAGCGGTCAAATCGAAGTACGGGCTTAACTGGTGTATCACGCCACATATAAAATAAGCCCAATTTGAACCAATACTATTCATGGACTGCATTAATAAAAAATGTTTGAATACCTGTGTGATTCATTAGGTCTTGGTGGTGTAGATACTTAGATTCAAAGGCCACCTCTTACTGAATACATTTTATTTAAAATAAATGGAAATTAGTTTGATTTAACACTATTACATTGTTGACCTCGAAATATACACTTTTTACATTATTTATAAATACATTTTTTTCAGAAATTTATCATCTTAAGCCGTGTTGCTTGAATTATTTTATATATTATATAATAGCGCACACAGCATCCCTTTCTACCACGGAAAACACATTTGGTGTGCTTGACTGGTAATAAAGCAGTGAAGTCGATGATGAGCCGCCAGCGAGCTTGCTGCTGACGTCGTAATTTTTAACCAATAAGAAGTAGCTGACGCGCATGACGTACTTATTTGTTAGAGAACTTACTTATCCGCTGAGATAGTACAGGCATTGTATTTAGATATCCTAGTAGATTAACCCTATGATTCCATTGGAGGCAATTCTGTCGCGATAGCTATTAGAACTGTACAGAACATCATCACAATAGCTCGTGTGCTAGGCGCTACCTCGATCATTGAGTATAGAATTCTACATATACATAAAGTTTTCTTAACTTTAACTTCATTTGGGTAGACTGCCAAATTTAAATTGATATTGTTTATATTCTCTAAAATGATGATAAATAGTAAATAAATGTTCATCAAGCATAATTAAACTCGTATATCTCATTTTACTGAGGCCCTACCTATGGGGCCTCAGTATTGCATTCGTGCAGACGAAAATGCAAAAACAATTACGTCTGATCGTCTGTGTGTATGTATGTTGGCACAGTAACTCTAGAACGAAAGTTCTGATTGACTTGAATAATTACTTCTAACTTAGAACTCTATTGATTTTCAGAATTTTCGGTTCATCCTAACTACTTCAATATCAATTTTCTTAAAGTGCGCCTATGCAATTCTGACAATTTTAGGAATTCCAATTATTTCTAACGTCAACATTCCTAACATTCTCAACATTCCATAAATTGCAAACATTCTTTAACGACCTGTCAAACAACAGCTGTTGATAGTATAGGTGAAATTTCTAAGGCGGGTTGCGACCTTCATACTTGCAACCATAGCCATTTTGAAGGCTAATTTTATTCGAAATTAGTCGCCAAGCCTGCCAATTTATGAAAAATATATAAGTAGTTTCTTAAAAATGACTTTTTATGGTGGTGCTAACTTAAGCGTACTACTATTTGGCCTCTAGCCACAAAAACACCTTTATCAAATTTACTGGCTCTCTATCGGAACCTCATAAATAATTAACCGGCTATTTTATTTGGCGAAAAGCAGAATAATGCTTAACTGTGCCTATCAAGTATCAAGATGTCGATTATTTAAAATGTATGCTTCTTTTGATATGTATTGCAAATAATTTGTCGTGTATCTCAATTCAGGCTTTCCATAAATAAAGGTACAGCAAGACAAATAATATGTTCTTATACAAACCACTTTTTTATTATATAAAAGAGAGGATATAATGCTGGTTTTTTGTAGATAATTTCAATTATACAGTTTTGGATTACATATTCAACCAGCGAATTGTAAATAATAATTAGTAAACTCCTAGTCATTAATTTCCTCAATTCATAAAATTTAAAAATGAATCTTCTTACCTTTGGATTTTAATGATCATTTCAAATTTTGATCAATTATGATACCGAGGTATTTTGTTGTGTTTTTCATTTTAATTATAAAGTTGTCATTTATTTATTATTATTATTATTATTATTATTATAATTTGATAAGAGCAGGGGCCATAAGACCCATAAGCCCATATTAACTGAATATAAAACAATATTACTAAAAACTAAATCAATAACAGGTACAACCGATGAATAAACAATGAAACAAATGAAATGTTAATAAAAAATTGAAAATTATCAAGTTCGTTCTTAAAAACATTGACAGATGGAGCATTTACAACATTCTCCGGTAGAGAATTCCAAGTGTGGAATATTCGATTAAATAAAAATTTTTGCCTCGTTTTCGTAAAAAATTGTTCTTTTTTCAGCTTCCATTTATGGCCACGTAGTCGATTTTCACTGTTCACGATGAACATACATTTTAAATTTCCAAAATTATATTTTAAAATACGAAAACAAATTATCATGTCACCCCGCAGACGGCGATTTTCAAACGTTTGTAGTTCAGCCATATGTAGTCTCTCTGCGTAATTAGGTCTCATACGTCCGAAAAATAGTCTGGTTGATCGGCGCTGAACATTTTCAAGAATATTTTTATCCCGCACTAGTTCCGGACACCACACAGCTCCGCAGTACTCGATAATCGGACGAATGTATAATTTATACAGCCGGATAGAATTTTGAAAAGACACTTTTGCGAATGTTTTCTTTAACGAAGGCCTTCATAAATTACATTGCTTTCTATGGATCTACTTTAACACAAAAATAGTTTTGTGGCTATAAGTTGCTATAACCCATCGTCACAAAACTATTAATAATTTAAACATAGTAAGTAGTAAAACGAGGTAAAACGAGGGGTAAAATAAATAGTGGCGTGCGGTGACATTTTTGAAAAGGGAAGCGATTGTATAAAAATACAGCAGGCCAGTAAGTACAGCGCCGAAAATTTTTCGCGGTGCATTCACCATTTTGTCAAAATCTTGCTTTTTTCCTCAGTACTAAGGATATTCGAGATTGAGATTTTTGAAGTGTAATTATTACTTTATTACCTAATTTAGTACTAGAAGCTATAAAAAAACTTACCATTGAAAAGCTTCCTTGGTTTATTTAAACGTAAAAAAACATTTAACTGAAGTTTTTTTTTTTATTTTCTCCAGCATTTTTCGTACAGTTGACACAGCAGTTGACATTTATTTATACCTAAGATCTATTCGCCTATCCTCATTGGCTGCAAATTTGTCTATAAAATCGTCGTAAAATTTTGGATTTTCTGATAACTGTTTAACAAGCTGTTTTTCAATGGACATTAGGGCTAAATTAGAGAGTCTGTCTTCACTTATTGAATTTCGTATAAAACTTTTAATGCGCTTTAAAGCTGAAAAACTTCGCTTTAGTCTATTAGAATTAATAATGTCCGTTTTCTCTTCAAAATTTCTACTTGAAAATCCTTTTTTTAATAAAGAGTAAAGAGCACATAATACAGACACAATTTACCACATTATTATTGTTCACAGGCACAGTACATAGTTCCTCCATTTTACAAAAAGAAAAACAACTACGAAAAACAAACCGAAATCTACCTAAAATCGAAGATTTTCCTCACACGTCGATTCGCGGTGCGAATTGCAATAAGCGTAAGGCGACATAATAATCGCTGCCTCTCGACCGTATTTCACGTGTACAAACAGACTAGAACTGTCGCTGCAAAGCAGGGTCAATAACACTAAGCGAAATCACTTGCAAGATGAACAGGTTATTTCAAGAGGCGCTTCCGCTGACAGACCGTTTGTACGTTTACATAATTAATTTTCTCATGGGTGGTGCGTGCGTTTACACACCAATGAATTGTTATTACATTTACTAAGTTTACGTAATGTTTCAGAGAAAATATAGTACCTAATTTATTATTAATTTCTATGCATTGTAAACTTAAAAATATTTATTTTTAAATTTCATAGTGTAGGGAAGCGGTGCTTCCCCGCTTCCATGGACCGCACGCCCCTGGTATTATCACAAGAAAGTATATCCGTTCTGTTTATTTATCAAGTATTGTTTGAGGTTACTTTTGTTGTTTTTTTCTTAATTTCTGTAGGCAGTCTATTAAATTTTTTAAACCATTATTATTGGATAAATTGCTCAAACAAGTTTTTAAACCCTAATTAAAAGGCGATATAGAATGGTTTCTAAAATCAAGGCTTCATATGGTTTAACCTAAGTAATGCCAATGCTTCACAAAACAAAAAATTCAACGTCCTAATACTACTATCAGCTTTCCGTCTTTCGTTCCAAGTCAAATCATTTCTCGTTTTTGTTACGCTACGAGTTTACCCCTGTGGGCTTCAGTATCGATAAGGTTGGAACCACCATTTTAGCGTCTCTCGAATTTAAAATAAATATTCTGAATCGATTATCGTTTCATCTATTAGTAAATAGAGAAATTACGTTCGTTGTTTAGTTTCGACAACCGTTCGATGGCTCGGTAAAAGACGACAAAATTATCAAAGACATGACTTGGACCCCACGGAACTTAATACTATCTATTGATACTGTCCATTGTCCTCCAAGATAATTTGCATTGGCATTGTTCTACTAGTTGATCTAAATACAGGCTAAGTACAGGCTACAAGAACGGCTGTAGGGGTTGTTCGAAAACTAGAAATGTTTAATTTGTATTGGATGTAACGTTGAATGTATATTAAATGTAATGTTGACTGTATTTCAACAAGTTTCTTTAAATACATTTTTAG